AAAGTAGAGGGCAGGCGGGGTTTTAGTTAATTGTGTGTTGCATTAGTTGGTGTTGGGTTAGTTTGGGTTTTTTATTGGCTTTAGTGTGCAGACTATATACCTCTGTCCTTGTGTAAAGCACAGCCCGTCATGGGGCAGTTGGGCCCCACCCCGGGGTTGGGTGGGGTAGGGGGGGATGACTGGACTTGCCTTGCTGGCACCCCACGCAGGAAGTAAGAGGCCTCCTCTGGGCACAGTTCCACTGCGAGTGGAGCGGAGATCTAGGGCTCTCTGAAGCCTATATTTAGCAATAGGAGAAGCCTCTGCCAGGCTGTTGTGTTGTTCCTTTTGGTGTGATTCACTAATGGCAGCATACTCTGTGGAGAGGGGCTGTAAATTGTAAATTGATATGAGGTAATAATTGGCAAAATGATCAGACTCCATTTTTATTCTCCTCTGGGGAAAACACGTGTTAGGAATCACTAACGCAGAGGCGACGGACAGAGGGGTTTTTCAGCCAGCTTTCCAGCTTTAGTGCTGCAGTGCTTCCGTCCTGATTAGAGAGGACAGGAGCCAAATTTGGCAGGAGGTGGCCAGCAGACTGGTATCTGTTTGCCACTCTTTACTCCAAAAAGCCTTGCCGCAGAGTTGCCATGGCAGCAGGAGGCAACTGAAAGGCAAAGGCTCAGCTCTGAAGCAGCGCCCCCTGGTGGCCCAGCCTTCCGCTCCCTGGCCTTGAACCCAAGGGGCTGGTCACACGGCGGGGGGCTCCGGGTGCTGTGGCTGTTGAAAGCGCATTCCCTAATGTAGTGGAGCTGTAAGGTCCTTCAGCTGTAAGGATGGCTGCCTCTTCTGTCCCCTGTTTCTCCTTGGGCATAGCCCTTTGATGTCCGATCCTGTAGTCCACCTTACCAAATTATTTGCTGTTCCTTAAATATGCTCTTTCATGCTTCTATACTTTTATACATGCAGTTTTCTCTGCCTAGAACGCTCCCTTCCCCATCTGTGTGGAAAATTCCTACTCATTGCCAAAGTGTGGCTTCAATACTGCCTCCTGCTCCATAGTGCTTCCTCTAACCCCTTATGCTGTGTGCAGAATTAACACTGTTTCCTCCACCATCTCAACCTTGCCTCATAGCAGAAATGACTGTTTTTGTTTCTTCTTCTCTAGACTGTAAATTATTTGCATTTAAGAACTGTTTTTTTTTTTTTAATGAATTTTGTATCTCCAGGAGTAGACTCATAATAACACTTAGTAGTGTTTGTTGAATGAATGAAGTGTCTTTGTGTCATCCTTTTTAATCCTTATCATGGGAGGGTTGCATACCATGTGGAGGACAGTACCGTGTTGTGTCCACGTAGGGCTTCAGAATCCTTGCTCTGGGGTTCCAGAGGGTTTAATCGGTGTCTGGGTGGCTCAGTTGGTTAAGCGTCCGATTTCAGCTCAGGTCATGATCTCATGGTTCATGAGTTCGAGCCCCGCGTCAGGCTCTCTCCTGACAGCCTGGAGCCTGCTTCGGAGTCTGTGTCTCCCCCTCTCTCTGTCCTTCTCCCCCTGGTGCTCTGTCTCTCTCTCTCTCAAAAATTAATAAACATTAAAAAAGTAGTTGGATGCTCAACCGACTGAGCCACCCAAGTGCCCTTCACTTTCCATTTTAAGTTGGAAGAGCAGTGGCGGAAAGAGCAACACTTGGGAGTCGGGTGCCCCAGGGTTCAAGTCATCAAGTCAGTATGGCTTTTGGTTATTTGTCCAGCTTGTCAGTTTCAGTTCCCTTTTGTTGAATTAGGATGTGTGAGGACAGTGCCTAAGATACTTTGTGGCCCAAAGTAAATTCCCAGTAAATCTTACTTTCTCTACCGTGCCCTGTCTTCCTTGAAGAAAATGAAAGCAAAATAGAAGTGTAAAGCAGTTTTGGACCATCTCTGGCATCCTTATCTACATCAGCTCATTCTGTGTTCACTGCCTTGCTCTGAGCACAGCTTTAAACGTCACCTCTTTCTGTGCCTCTTGTCCCTTTTCCCGACCTTCCATGCTTTAGTGCCCTTCCTTTGCTTTACTGCCCTGTTTTCATCTTTGGTGCATCTGTCCCCGTGAGTTTACTGTGTATGTAGACATTTTATTTAGAACTCTCTCCTGTCCTGTCTTTTTGGGGATAACCTGTATTTCAAGAATTTCGATTTGAAATGAATTTATCTGTTTCTCTCCTTCAGTAGTTCCCAGGAGCTGTCTTGACTGTGATACATAGTTACGTGCCTTACCTGCTAGCCTCTATAATGTTCGCTTTACGGTTTAGTCTTAAGCATTTTTCGCTGTTCCTCTTAATGTTGAAGTTCCAAGCTCGCTTAGGCTGTTTTGCAGATCTCTTTGCAAATGTGTTCTTCTCAGTACCACGTGGTGATGCTGCAGGCCTCTGTCCTGTGTGCCAATGCCTGCAGATATCTGGGCTGTTCAGTTTGTGAAGTGTTTTTCTCTTCCTTCTCTTTTAATCCCACTTTTGGTAGTTGATTCATTCCTGCTCCTCTACAGGATGTGGAACTGGAAGCTGTTTGTAAGTTATTAGTAGGTCCAGTAGAAGACTCCCTGAGAATGGCAATGAAAATTTGCTTGGGTTTCTCGGTTACCCGTGACAGTGGTTGGCTGTTTGTGAGAAGCCTTTTGGGAATGTTTTATGGCCTCCTACCTCGCATCTTGTGCTGTCAGTTTAAAAAAACCTACTTATCAGTAGATTTGTTAGTTAATCTGGTCTGCCAGTGCCATGCTTACTTGAAAGTTGGCTATTTGTCTCCTTTCCAAAAAATGGAATTGCCGCATACAGTTCATTTTTGTTTGATGTGAAAACTGAAACTAATGTAAGGATTTATTTACCTGGCTAAAGGGCATTTTTCAATCAAAAGGCAAGAAGGGTACAGTTTTAATGAATCATAAAATTTATCTGTTCGAGACATGCATTTTTCCTACTCTGTAAATATTCAGTTAAATGCCATTTAGTTAAAATTTAATTACGTAGGAACTTGTTGCCATGGATTGAATTGAACTTCAGAATGCTGGAAACAATATTGTAAGTTAATATAGAAAGGTTACAATGATTTATTATTTTGTAGGAAATATTTTGGGGATAGAGCAGGTTGTACATGGGATGAAACTCAGAAGGTCTAGGTTTGAATTCATGCACCTTCTAGCTCTCTTGGGCTACATAGTCATTCTCTGTGGAATGGTAATGGTTACAAAATACCTTTTTTTTTTTTTTTTAAGTTTGGTGGTTTGTAGTTTATCCCTGACCTTCATGCTGGGTTCTTCGTCCCTGGTGCTTCTCCTGTGTGCAGTGTTACTCTACCTGCAAATACCTCTCAGGCCCCCATCCCCCTGATGTACACACTTCTTTTTTTATTATTTAATTTTTTTCTGGTATCCTTTTATATATTGTCCATTCCAGCATATGTATTGACTTGATCTTTTTGCTTTTCCGTTTTCTCACCTAGTTCTTATATTTGGTTATATTTCCTGATTTGAATCCTATTTTATATAGCAATAGAACTTAACAATGTGGGAAAGGCTGTTGGCAGAGAGACAATTTCATAAAACCTTCCACGGACCCAGGCGAATGGAAACCAGCGCTGGAGGTTCTTTACCTCCTGTCTTGCATGAAAACATTCCTGCTTGTTTCCCCTCTGTTGATCCATAACGTTAGACTTTGCTTTTCTTAGTTAAGAGTATTCTTAGTTAAGAGTATTTCTTTTGGGGCAAATGATAACATCTGCAATCTTTATCATCTTTTCTACTTTTTAACATTTTTAAAAAAATGTTTATTTTTGAGAGAAAAAGTGAGAGAGAAGGAGCAGGGGAAGGGCAGAGTGGGGTGGGCAGAGGATCTGAAGCAGACAGCAGGGAGCCCAACCAAAGCAGGGTTCCTGAGAATCCCACACGGAGAGATCATGACCGCAGCTGAAGTCCGACGCTTAATCCACTGAGCCACCCAGGGTCCCTACGGTTTAACATTTAAAAACAATCTGTTTCAGGGATGCCTGCGTGGCTCAGTTCATTGAGCGTCCGACTTCAGCTCAGGTCATGATCTCGCGGTTCGTGAGTTCGAGCCCCGCGTCGGGCTCTGTGATGACAGCTGGGATCCTGGAGCCTGCTTCAGATTCTGTGTCTCGCTCTCTCTCTGCCCCTCCCCTGCTCATGCTCTGTCTCTCTCTGTCTCAAAAATAAATAAAACATTAAAAAAAAAAAAAACCAATCTGTTTCAGTGAAATTTCTGGTTAATCTTCCTTTTCCTAAAACATGCATGTACAGAACACAAAAGGGATAATTTAAGATTTGAGGATTACTTTGTTGATATGTAATCGACCTTTTTAATAAATGATATTTACTGTAGTTATCTCACCTCAAAAGTCATTTCATTTACTAGAAAATGAGAATTCTGAAAAATGAAAGAAAGAAAATTAAAATCACTTTATTCTAACATCCAGAGATGACTGCAGATAAAATGTTGGCATAATTCCCTCTAGTCTCCATTCAACATTACGTATTCAATTGTATGTAATTTTACAATTCATTTTTATAATTACATATTAGCAAAAGTTTATATTTCATTTTTATAATTTTAAATTTTATATGTAATTATATATTAGCTAAAGCTTATACATAAACTATAATTCACATTATATAGCACTATTGGAATATTCTAGTAACTTTTAGGGCACAACCTTGACCAAAAAAAAAAAACATTAATTATCTAAAAAACTAAAATAGATAATTTCTAATTATGAACTACATTACAAAAATGTAAATATTAGAAAAATACATCATGACAAATAGGAGTCCTGCAATTCCTCCAGTCCCCACTGTTAACAGTATGTTTTCAAACAACCTGTGATTAGATTTCTGAATTGTTTGTTCATCTTTGACAAAATTTGTGAAGGGTATGGATGTTCTTTGCTTACAGGCTTGGTCAAATTAGGCAGTGAACCAGAATGTGTTTTTGCAAAATAACATCTCAATATTTCTCTCCATGCTTTAGGTATGTGTTCTTTTTGGATCCATGCAATCTGGACTTGATAAACCGGAAGATCAAGTCCGTAGCACTGTGTGTAACAGCGTGTCCACGACAAGAACTGAAAACCCTGAGTGATGTTCAGAAGTTTGCAGAGATAAATGGTGAGGCATGAGGCCGTCCAAGTCCTCACCCCGGTCACTTACTCCCACCATGACATACTGTATGTTTGCATTCCAGTATAAATTTGTGCCGGTGTTAAATAAATCACCAAGGAACCTCAAAACGAAAAAGGGAATTGAAAGTCCTCCTGGACTTCCTTGATAAAAAAGATTATAGTCACCTGGGGAGCTTGTTAAAACTCCAGATTCCTAGGCTCCCCCCAGGGAAATTCTGACTGAGTAGGTCTTTGGGTTCTGGAAACTTGTATTTTTTTACAGATGTCTCATGTGATTTTGATGTCGCCTGTTTGAACATTTGGGAATGACTAGACTACTTTTTGTGAAATTGGTCTTTTTTTCTTTTTCTCTTCCTAAATACAAATTAAAAATTTTTTGATTAGTGTATTTTATTTTTGTCCCTGGATAACAATGTAATATATGTCTGTTACAGGAAATTTGGAAAATTCAGGGAAAAGAAAATGAATACCAAAAGTCCACCATCTTTCAATTGTGTTGGTGTGTTTTGCTTTTTTTAATCTAATATTATCTCATAACCATTTTTCTAAGAGTAAAGTTTTGAGAAACTTTGAGGTTAAACATATGGGAATTAGCTGAGAAAACAAGCATAGTCAATTTTCTAACCTAACTCCGCTCCCTTGGGTTTCTGATTTCCAGGTATTATCCTCAGTTCCCTCTGACTCGCCTCAGTTCTCTTCAGAGAATGTTATTTATAACCTCTCTTCCTGGAGGGCCACAAACTGATAGCCTGTGTTTGTGAACTTCCATGGGGTTTGATGTTTGCGTTCTGCGTGTTGGAGTCCTCAGAGCTGCCTTGGCCTCGCCTGGTTTACAGGCTGGTTCTGGTTCCTTGGAACAACGGCTGACTCAGCATCCGCCTCGTGTCACTTCTAGCTGGGCAGAGAGATAGCCTGGGAACGCAGCTACACACGCACCCCTAAGCAGCTTCAGAGTCTTCCTGAGGGGGTTGCTGGCCTTTTGAGAGCAGAAGGACTGCCGCCTTCTAGACTGGCAGTGTTCCTGTCACTACTGCTCCAGGCCTCAGTGTGAGGTAGTAGGAAGCACATGAGATTAATATGACTCTGGATTCTACTTCTGCTGCTGTCGTTAACTGGTTCTGTAATGAGGGACAGAGAGCGTAGCCTCTCTGAACCCGTATTTCCTCATCTGAAAAAAGTGGATTAAAAACAACGCCCCCATCATAGGATTGTTGTGAGGATTTGATGAGACGATGCACAAATGATTGGCACTTGGTGGGCACTAAATAAAGAGGTACTAGCGACTCTTCAAGATCTCATTTATTCCCACATGATATCCTCACACAGACTGATTGGCTGAGTCTAATACTAGAACTGTCGGCCCTATCATTATCAAGTTTCTTAGGGAGAAATGAGTTATCCCTTACGGGTTTTTCTGAAATCTTAGGCAAGGTGAGCATACATGGTGCACTTTGGGAGGTGGTGGTATTGAGTTGGCTTTGGAGTATAGGCTCTGGAACCAGATTATCTGGGTTCAAATGTTGGTCCTGCCACTTACGAGCCATGAGACCTTAGGCAAGTTACGTGATCTCTGGTTGCCTCAGTTTCCCCATTTGTGAAGGAGATAATATTTGTACTAAAGCTGCCTCACAGGGTTGTTACAAGGACCTCAGACATGAAAAATGCTTAGAAGAGTGTGTGGCAAATGGTAAATTGCCAAAAAAAAAAAAGAAATAAGTATTGGTTACTGCTGTTATATTATTACTATTAATGTTATTATTCCCCCAATGGAAGGTAATAATCTTTCTGCCACTAGTCTCTCTCTGCTTCTAGCCCCTGACATACTGCTGCCATATTAACATTGATAGAGCTTTAGTCATGTTAATCCCTTACTCAGAAGCCATCAGAGGTCACAAAATAAAATAAAACGTTATATATCTTACCTTGGCATTCAAAGCTATAATCTAGTGTCAAACTATCTTCTAACACGTTTTCTTGAACCCACTGGGTGTGAGTCTTGATCCCTTGAACCTGACATGTCAGCTGGAGGGCCAGAAGAGAGTTAGTTTCTTGTCAACCGTATTGCCTGCTGTGATGATCCACTGGGGAGAAATGCCCCATGCAGCCTTGCTGGTATGTTTATTTCCAGGTCATTATCCTTCTAAGTGATTATGATACTGAATATGGCCTATTAAGGCCAGTTTATAAGACCTTTCTGGTGAGTTTTGCAGCTTTGTTTTTTTCACAGTCTTACACAAAGCAGGTGTTCAAGAATATTAATGAATAAATATTATTCCAGAAAACAGACTTCTTAAATTGGTGCCTAACTACACAGGCACCCTTAGGCTTTTCAGGCAGCTGTTTGCAAAATAAGTCAATGTGTTAGGCATAAAAAAAAGTATTAATAATGGCAGCATCAAGAAACACAGCAGTGGAGGATAGAGAAGATAAATATTTAAAAGGGAGTAGAAAACTATGAAATTATAATAGAGAAGAGAGCCTTTGGTGGAGGGATATAAGTACCTTTATTTTATTTTTTTTTTTTATTTAAAAAAAAAAATTTTTTTTTTCAACGTTTATTTATTTTTGGGACAGGGAGAGACAGAGCATGAACGGGGGAGGGGCAGAGAGAGAGGGAGACACAGAATCGGAAACAGGCTCCAGGCTCTGAGCCATCAGCCCAGAGCCCGACGCGGGGCTCGAACTCACGGACCGGCGAGATCGTGACCTGGCTGAAGTCGGACGCTTAACCGACTGCGCCACCCAGGCGCCCCAAAGTACCTTTATTTTAATAGTAACCCTAGGTTGAAAATTTTTTATTTCTTAACAAAAATTCTGGATTATTCTTTGGATTGGTGACTTAAAACTGGGCCTGGTAAAGGGTGCCTGGGTGGCTCAGTCAGTTAAGCGTCTGACTTTGGCTCAGGTCATGATCTCATAGTTCGTGAGTTCGAGCTGCGCATCGGGCTCTGTGCTGACAGCTTGGACCCTAGAGCCTGCTTCGAATTCTGTATCTCCCTCCCTCTGCCTCTCTCCTGCTCACACTTTGTTTCTCTCTCAAAAATAAACATTAAAAAACGTTAAAAAAACAAAACAAAAAAACAAAACTGGACCTGGTAAGATTTAATTCCAGTGTTACTGTATCTGAGAGAATTCTTTGTCTTTTTGCATTATCTTTTTTCCCCTTCTTTGTCTTTCCATCATTTGAGGTGCACATTGATTCGGAAGGAGCAGATGGTTTTTATAGTTATTTGTATCCACACGTTGTTAACAGCTACATTTCTGTTAGAAAATGCACAGGCCCTTTGACCTCACTTATACACATCAGAGAGGAATATCTTCAAGAGCTAATTTAGGTTTAAGTGGGGAATTTCCAAATCTGTAAGAGGGAATTGCTCAAAATCCATGACAGAGTCTGCATGTAAGAACAAACTCCAAAGCTCTTAGAAGAAAACATAGGGGAAACCTTCATGACGCTATACTGGCAATAATTTCTTGGATATGAACCGAAAGCTCGGTCAACAAAAGAAACAGCATAGGTAGACTGGACTACATCAAAATATAAAACTTTTGTGCATCCAAGGACACAGCAGCGTGAAAAGGTAATCCATAGAGTAGGAGAAAAGATTTGTAATTCATTTATTTGATAAAGGGTTAATACTCAAAATATATAAAGAATCCCTACATCTCAACAAGAAAGAAAGAAAGAAACAGACAAATAAACAACCCAATTAAAAAATGGCCAAAGGACTTGAATAGACATTTCTTCAAAGAAGATATATGATGGGCCAATAATAAGGACATGAAAAGATGCTCAACATGCTAATTGTATGGGAAATGCAAATGAAAACCATAGTGAGATACCACCTTACACCCATTAGGACAGCTTCTATTGAGAAAAAAATCACAAACACCACAAAACAGAAAATAACAGATGTTTGTGAGAGTACAGAGGAATTGGAATCTTTGTGCGTTGTTGGTAGAAATAAAGAATTGTATGTCTGCGATGGAAAAGAGTTTGAAGTTTCCTTAAAAAATTAAAAATAGAATTAACACAGAGGATTTTTAGGGTGGTGAAAATACTTTGTATGATACTATAATAATGGATATATGTCACTATATATTTGTCCATGTCCATAGGACATACACTAAGAGTGAACCCTTATGTAAACTATGGACTTTGAGTGATCATGATATGTCAATGTGTAGGTTCATCAGTTATATCAAATGTACCACTCTCGTGGGGGATGTTATAATGGAGGAGGCTGTGCATGCGTGGAGGCAGGGAGTATGTGGAAAACCATTGTACCTTCCTCTCAATTTTGCTGTGAACCTGCTTTAAAAAATAGTCGTTTAGAAAATAGATTATCATGACTCAAAAATCCCGCTTTTGGGTGTATATCCAAAAGAACTGACAACAGGATTTCAGAGAGATATTTGCACACTCATATTCATTGTGGCATTATTCATAATAGCCAAGAGAGGGAAGCAACCTAAATGTCCACTGATGGATGAATCGCTAGAGAAAATGTGGTATGTACATACAATGGAATGTTAGCCTTAAAAAGTAAGGAAATCCTGTCATATGCTACAACATGGATGAACCTTGAAGTTGTTCGTCTAGGTGCAATAAGCCAGTAACAGACAGATAGGGCGATGGTTTTCTCTGGCTATAGAATTTCAGTTTTGCAAGATGAAAAAATTCTACAGATCTGTTGGATAACAGTGTATCCAGCGTATAGCTAATATGACTATACACTGAAAAAATGGTTAAGATGGTCAATGTCATATTACGTGTTTTACCACAGTTTTTTTAAAAAGGAAGGATATTCTGATACATGCTACAATATGGATGAACCTTAAGACATTGTTAAGGGAAATAAGTCAGTCACAAAAGGACAAATACAGTATGATTCCACTTATATGAAGTACTTAGAGTAGTCAGATTCATAGAGACAGAATAGAATGGTAGTTGCCAGGGGCTACAGGGTGAGAGGAATGGGGAGT